AGAGGGTGGAAGATAATAAAATTATTTGACACAAATCCATCATTCACAGTGCTGCTCCTAGAAGAAGAAGAAGAAGAGTTTGGATTTGATATCCCGACTTTCACTCCCTTTAAGGAGTCTCAAAGCAGCTAACATTCTCCTTTCCCTTCCTCCCCCACAACAAACACTCTGTGGGGTGAGTGGGGCTGAGAGACTTCAAAGAAGTGTGACTGGCCCAAGGTCACCCAGCAGCTGCATGTGGAGGAGCGGAGACGTGAACCCGGTTCCCCAGATTAGGAGTCTACCGCTCTTAACCACTACACCACACTGGCTCTCTACTATTGCATGGGGATGAATTAGCCACACCCAACTCCCCCAGGAAGATGATGATTTAACTAGTTATTTTAATTGTTGTTTTGCAGGTCCTCTTTATTGTTATATTTCAATAAATACAACCATTTTTTTTAATAATAGTTCATTTTGCGGGTCTTCTTACAAGATGTGATGGCAAATTGCAATTCTAAAAAGTATCATCCTCTTTTTCTCACCTTCGCCACCTTGAGTCTTAAATACGCAGTCCTCTAAAAGTTTCAGCAGCAGGATAACAGATCCCTGTTCCTGCCTGGTGGTGAAGCTGGGATGATACACTTGTTAATTTATTTTAACGAAAGTACTTGCTCTTAAAGCTACTACATCAGACATAACATAAAGGTGGAGAAATAAGCAGTGAGTTGATCAGCAGGGATGAAATGAAAGAACAGACCCTGTTTTAATTTAAATTGGGATCGATCTCCCTAATGAGAAGCAGAGAGTCAAAATAAATTACATAAATGGAGTTAATCATGATGGAGAAGAAAAAGAGTAACCTTGTGCCGGTCAAACTGATTTGGCTAATCCTAGCTAAAGGCAACCAGGATAATATATACTTTTGGTAATTTATTTTTTTAAAGGAATGTTCTCAGCATTTTTCTTGGGTTGTCCTTGAGGTCTGGAAGTTCTTAACAAGAGGAAAACTAATATGTAAAGATTGTTGCTGCTGCTGCTGCTTCTCTATATCAAGAATGAGCAATCTTACTTCCTGGATGGCCATGTTGCCTTCCAGAGTAAATTCTGGGGGCCTCATGCTAAAGGCAAAAGAGAGCAAATTAAATGAAGGTGGATTTTGGTCTTCTTTAGTAGGTTAGTTTCTTCACACTCACGTGTCCCTCTTTATCCTCCATCAAGGCACACAAGAGACATTATTAGAGTTCAAGGACATTTCTCAGCCAAGAAAAAACATTTAAGTGAACAGTGTATCTGGGGAAGATCTGTGACCTAGCAAGAGCCCAGAGGGCCAGAAAAGTGTTCTGGAGGGCTGCATTAGGCTTGAGGCTCCTCATCCTTGGTTTACATCCTCCTTAAAGGACTGTCTGAGCATTTAAACTGGAGATTCCAGGGACTGAACCTTCTGCACACAAGGCCCTGAGCTATGGTCCTTCACCCCCTGCACACCAGAATGGTGGCTTGGGCCAACAGTCTCCCACCACCACCTTCTGGAACTTAACCACTTCTTAAAATTGTATGTCTCAGTTCCATCTGGGGTTGGGGAGGTAACCTGGGTGGGATTAATGCATGACAAAAGTGTTCCACCTCTTATTTGTCCTCAATCATCATTGTCTGCTTCTCTTTCCCCAGGGATTGCAAAAAAACCAACAACAACATTCCTTTGAAAACAAAAGGAAACAGAATGAATTGGGCAAACTATACATTTATGGATTCAATCTGCATCATTTGCTTCCGAGATTTGGATTCTTGGTTTTTAAAAAAGAATCGAGAACTTGGTGTGTGCAGAACACTCTTAGCTCTTAGAATTCATTGCTAACGAACGTCAGTAACAAAAAACAAATCAAGAGTACACTCTGTCCTTGAATTCCTAGGTAACTGTTCTAACCCAGGCTGAAGAAGGACTTAAGATTTGCAGTTGAAATAAAAGCACGGAGACCATAGATCTTTGAGTATGTATCTACCACTGCCCTCTACTGATAACAAAAACACTTAGCATGAATGTATAAAAAGATTTAATTTCTAACATGTTTTTGGCATTGTTGTACCAACAGACCTATAAGTGGACAAAGTGTGCGTTGTTCTGTTGTTATACTGGAGTGCACTGAGGGCTTACATCCCACACCATGCTTTTAACCCTTTCCTGCTGTACTAACAGTTTGCTTTATACCTGGTCTCCCTAGGATAATGCATTGGAAATATAACAGCTGGAAACTGATGTCAGGAAATAAATATATGGCTGCATGACTGCATTTAGAATCCTGTTGTATTGTTGAGATGTTGCCAGACCACCCATTAGGCAAGGTATTCACATTACCTAATGGGTGGGCTGGCCATATCTCAACAACAGATCAGGCAGAGGTGGTGGATAAAAATAAATCAATCAAACCATGAGTGGTAGTGGATAGGTTTCCCCCAGCCCATCTACCACTGTCTCTGGCCCACAGCCCCAACCTGACTTCAGAGCTGCCTAACACATATTTGCAGGCTGGCCACAGCTGCACATTTCTTTGCGCATATTTGCTGCAACATTGATGCTGTAGACTAACTCTGTAGTAATAGAAATAATAAAAATAAATGAATGAATGAATGAATGAATGAATGAATGAATGATTTATTATTTATACCCCACCCATCTGGCTGGGCTTCTCCAGCCACTCTGGGCGGCTTCCAACCAAATATTAAAATACAGTAATACATCAAACATTAAAAGCTTCCCTAAACAGGGCTGCCTTCAGATGTCTTCTAAAAGTTTGGTAGTTGTTGTTCTCTTTGACATCTAGTGGGAGGGCATTCCACAAGGCGGGCGCCACTACCGAGAAGGCCTTCTGCCTGGTTCCCTGTAGCTTGGCTTCTCGCAGTGAGGGAACCACTGTGCTGGACCTCAATGTCCGGGTAGAACGATGGGGGTTGTAGCCTACAAACTGCCCAGAACGTATGTAGGAAGAGTTCCTCAAGCCCTAGAAATCTCAAAATAGTCAGCAAATGTCTCTTGTGTGTTTAGACACTTGTCTCTGCCTCCTCTCTGCTACATGTCAGATGTATTTGTGAGTCTTTCTCAGGCACATCTGTGGAGATGTGCTCCTACTAAAACTTTTGCTGATTTTTTCCTCTGTCTTCTGTCTTTCACATTTATTTGTTTGTTTGTTTGTTTTTGTTTGTTTGTTTTAAAAATGTAAACCATTACTTTAACATTTTCTAAGTGGAGTAATGACAGTCCAAACTGTAACAGTGAAATAATAAAAACTAAGCTAAAGAAACATATCAATATACTAGTGTTCCAGGGCACAGTCTTACAGATCAGGGGGAACTTGTGAGATATATATGTCTGAAGCAAATAATTGGTGGCAGAGGGGAAGGCATTCAAGGGAATTGGGGCAGTACCAAAAAATATCCATTTTCAAGTCACTGCCCTACGATGTTTTGCAGGATGTGATGCCAAGAGTAAACTTTCCCCATACAATGTAAATGATCTACACAAAGGTGCAGGTGGTCTTTCAGATCACCTGGTTCCAAATTGTTCAGGGCTTTATATGTCCTGAACAACTAGTGCAGAAACCAAAAACTATTGTATAGTGCAATTTGTGCTAGTTTTTGTCACACCAAAAATGGGATAAGTCATATTTTGCTCCACCATCTTGATTTGAAATGGCACCCAGCACCCAAATCTCAAGGGAGACTGACACCCCCACCTTTAACATGATCCTTTACTAATTAATAGTGGCCCTCATGAAACAACAACATGTCAAACTTATTTGCTTAACAACAACCTTTATTAGAGGCAGACGTTTAAGGCTCTCCTGGCAAGGCAACACCTTAAAGGTAAAGGTAAAGGTAAAGGTACTCCTGCCCGTACGGGCCAGTCTTGCCAGACTCTAGGGTTGTGCGCTCATCTCACTCTATAGGCCGGGAGCCAGCGCTGTCCGCAGACACTTCCGGGTCACATGGCCAGCATGACAAGCTGCGTCTGGCGAGCCAGCGCAGCACACGGAACGCCGTTTACCTTCCCGCTGGTAAGTGGTCCCTATTTATCTACTTGCACCCGGAGGTGCTTTCGAACTGCTAGGTTGGCAGGCGCTGGGACCGAACGATGGGAGCGCACCCCGCCACAGGGATTCGAACCGCCGACCATGTGATCGGCAAGCCCTAGGCGCTGAGGTTTTACCCACAGCGCCACCCGCGTCCCTCCTGGCAAGGCAACATCTTAGGAAGTTATTTTTGTCCCATCACACTGCCATCGGACGCTCATGAGAAATATAAGAGGCAAAACTCTAGGTGGTCTCTTCATTTCATCAGCAAGCAAATTAGTTCAAAGGATGGTTCCATTTTCATGTTTTAGAAGCTTAAAAGCCTTTCCGTGTTGACTTCAGCTGGACCCTTACTTCTTAATCTAGAGCTTTCACAAAAGCTTCCTTTCTCTTCAGCCACCAAATGATCTTCCACCTCCTGATCAGCAACACTAATAGCACAGAAATCTTCTCATTAGGGAAGCTGGCCTTCTGCCCCTGATGTACATAAGACCGGGACACCGTAATACAAAAGACACTTCCAAGTTTATAATGATGACAAATGCATGCCAATTTGTGAATCCAAGTCATGAAATGGGTTATTTTAACCCATCGTTCTTTTGAGCCATGGGTTTCTCATACAGAAAACTAGCACAATGGGAAAAAGAAGACATGACTCCAGGATAATGGATGAAGAACCATATATTCAAAGATGGTTTCCTTAACATTGTGTTCCAAAGATAAGGCTTGAGTATTCTCATAAGTGCAGAAGTAGGATGCCACCAACCCAGTTCTGTTGTTACTATGAATTTATTATTACCATGAATTAATTAACTAGATTTCTGTCCTGCCATTCCTCCCAAAGGAATCCGAGCAGCCAACACGCAAATGACAAAAGAGATTTTTCCTTCTCCTAGATGGGCTACCTTGCCATGTTGACAAGCCCTATCTGCTTAATGGTAGAGCATGATTGCTGAGATGGCTCAGTTGGTAGGGCATGAGACTCTTAATCTCAGAGTCAAGGGTTCGAGCCCCAAGTTGGGCAAACGATTCCTGCATTGCAAGGGGTTGGACTTGATGACCCTTGTGGTCCCTTCCAACTCTACAATTCTATGATTCTAAGATCTACTTTGCATGCAGAAAGTCCCAGATTCAATCCCCTAAATCTCCAGATAGGGATGGGAGAACCCTCCATCTGAAACCCTGGAGAGCTGCTGCCAGTCAGTGTGGACAATACTGAATTAGATGGAGCAGTGGCAGCTTCCTGTATTCCTACGACAGGCTTCCTCAACCTTGGCCCTCCATGTGTTTTTGGCCTACAACTCCCATGATCCCTAGCTAGTCAGTGGTCAGGGGTGATGGGAATTGTAGTCTCAAAACATCTGAAGGGTCGAGGTTGAAGAAGCCTGTCCGATGATGTATAACCAGAGGTAAGCAACAGCAAAGAGCAATAAGGGAGAGTTGGGAGTATATGCTAAATATTTGAAGTGTGTTTGTGGGGAAAAAAACTTGGGTCTGTTTACGTAGGATATATAAAGCACTGTGTTTTGCTGCCTTAAATACTGAATTGATGAAAATGGGACGCTTTTTTCCATGATGGATATAACGATCATGTAATTCACAAAATATATGAGCCATTAAAGCCCTGTGACATCTCTTCCCCGTGCTAAAGATTGTAAGTGGGATTAATGGTACCAATAAATCCATTCCCATAGGGAAGACTATAACAACAACAATCCCAAAAAGGGGGGAAATGGTAGGAAATATAGCCCACCTGGTAGGTTTATGGCCTTTCCAAACACAGTAATCATTTTAAAGAGATGCTGATTAGTGCTGGCAACAAGATTGGAACTGGAAGCTTACACGACATCCATTTAAACCGGAGCGCTGGGGAGTCTATAAGATCCCATTTTGTGGCTCAGACGGAGATGATTCATCCTGGTTGCAGGTGCAGCTTGTTCCTTGCACGCTTCCACAAATGGATGAAGAAAGCAAAGTTTGCACAAAGGAATCAAACAACAGAATCCAATTCTCAATTTGCACAGGTGGGGCTGGTTTAGCAAATCGACACCGGTGCTGAGCCAAAATCTGTGCTCCAGTTGCGGTTTTGTGTTGCTGGTTTATCTGCATTGTTGTTGTTGTTTTGGTTTTTTAAAAAGAATTTCCTCCCTATTTTCAGGGCATGTTGAGATTTTTTTAGCATTTCTGCAGGAAGGAGTTATAGTTATTTATATAAATATTTATAAACTGCACTTAAAAAAAAACCACGCACAGTGATGAAAGCACAAGGGATGGCAAACTATCAGGGAAGGGGGAGATGGAGTGGAATGTCCCATACAGGAGCACTCCAGACTGCAAAGTTTTGTATTACAGTGGTGCCTCGCAAGACGAAATTAATCCGTTCTGCGAGTCTCTTCGTCTTGCGGTTTTTTCGTCTTGCGAAGCACGGCTATTAGCGGCTTAGCGGCTATTAGCGGCTTAGCGGCTTTAAGAAAAAGGAAACAAACTCGCAAGAACTCGCAAGACGTTTTGTCTTGCAAAGCAAGCCCATAGGGAAATTCGTCTTGCGGAACGACTCAAAAAACGGAAAACTCTTTCATCTTGCGCGTTTTTCGTCTTGCATTCGTCTTGCGAGGTACCACTGTATTGATTGAGATTCATTTTTCCGTTGAGACATTATAATTAATGGACTGTTCTAATTTCCATTGAGACAACATTCCTAATTGCAGTACTTCTCACTTATGACTTCTAGGCATTCCTGTCGGCATTGATTCATTTCAATTTGCATTTCTGCACTCTTCAATTATAGATGCCCGGTCAATATAGGTAGGCAAGTGGTCCATTCTTTTCTAAGGCTGCCTATCATTTCAGAGGGAGAAAGGTGGGAGAAAGAAAGGAGTTGTCTGGTGGAAACTGAATGCTGAAATATGTCCTGTTCTTAGCTAGGTCTGATGGTGACAGGGCAGCATAGGTGGGCACAAGGGTGGGCACTGGATGTGCCCAGACACGCCTAAATGTTTCTTTCTTAAAAGGGGGGTCAAGGGAAATAGAACGACAGAAAGAGATGCAGGCAGAATTAAAAAGCTGGAAGGGATCTGGAAGTAATTCTGCCTGAGTCTGTCTCTGGAAGCAATGGCGGGGTGATTGGCTCCAGCAGCAGCAGTAAGCGGGGAGCAGAAGCTCATTTGCTTCACACAGAAGCTGCGGATCCATTCCAACCTTTTTTTTTCTGCCTGCATCTATTTCTGTCTTACAGCTCTGTCTCAATTTGAGCTCTGCTTGCCACCTTTTGTAGAGCGAGATCTGTAGGGGTGAGGAGGTGCTTTTGTGGCATGCAAGCAAGGAAGAGCCATCCTGCCCTCTGCCCTCCAGATCTGCCCTGCCTCTGGTCAGCTTGGCGTGGGTCTTCTACTGTACAGGAAAAAGATACAGTGGTACCTTGGGTTACAGATGCTTCAGGTTACATATACTTCAGGTTACAGACTCCACTAACCCAGAAATAGTACCTTGGGTTAAGAACTTTGCTTCAGGATGAGAACAGAAATCGTGTGGCAGCAGCAGGAGGCCCCATTAGCTAAAGTGGTACCTCAGGTTAAGAACAGTTTCAGGTTAAGAACGGACCTCCAGAACGAATTAAGTTCTTAACCCGAGGTACCATTGTACCCTGTTTTGTCTTCTTGACCACTCTTGTTGTGGTAGTTTTGTTAGCTTTTGTGCCTTTTTACCCCTTCTTGTCCTTATTTCTTTCAGCTTGTCATTCCTACTGCTTTTTCCTTTGTTGAAATAAATAAACCTATACAAAACCCCAGGTGCCCTGTGGAGTATCAGAGGCTGGAACCCTGACCACTTATAGGGTTCTAGTTCAATGGTTTCCAAACTTTCCCACCCTACAGACTACTTGAAAATTGCTGCCTGTTGCTTAGCAGTTGTGATGCGCTGTGCTAGATGCTAAAGTATCTTCTTTAAAAAGTATATGAGATTCAAGTTTAACACAATAAAATGTAATAAGGCGCCAAGGAAGCAATTAAAATACAATTAAAAATCAATATTTGCAATTTAGCTGTAATGTCCTTGCTGTGCTGGTGCAATGTCGTGTTCAGCCACATGCTGGCATAGCCATTGGTGTTCCTCTGGTGTAAGAATGATCAGTCCGTCAGAACAGTAAATAAGAGTTGGTCCACGTATAGACCAGAACTTGTGCAAGGAGCAAAGAGTGTAACTTTGCGAGCAAAATTCTCATGCAGGCAATTACCTGTTTTAGACAACTTGCTCTGATAATAGATGCCTGCAGGAATCCATCGCGGAATTGTAACAAGAAAGTTCAGCCTGCCTCAACTCAAGGGACCTTCTACATGAAGAATTGTTGCCCATCCTGAAAACATAGGAAGCTGCCTTATCCTCCATCACAACACTTGCCCACCTTGTTTAGCATTAACTACACTGACTGGGAGTGGTTCTCCTGCATTTCAGACTTGGAACATTCCCCAACCTACCTGGAGATGTCCAGGATTGAACCTAAGACCTTCTGCATGTAATACTCTGACTACTGAGCTATGGCCTTTTCCTGGGCTTCCAGAAACTCCCCACCCATTTTTGAACTCAATTTTTTTCTTTTCTTTTAAAACAGGAAGTATCCACAGGGACGCGGGCGGCGCTGTGGGTTAAACCACAGAGCCTAGGACTTGCCGATCAGAAGGTCGCCGGTTCGAATCTCCGCGACGGGATGAGCTCCTGTTGCTCGGTCCCTGCTCCTGCCAACCTAGCAGTTCGAAAGCACATCAAAGTGCAAGTAGATAAATAGGTACCACTCCGGCGGGAAGGTAAACGGTGTTTCCGTGCCCTGCTCTGGTTTTCCAGAAGCGGCTTAGTCATGCTGGCCACATGACCCGGAAGCTGTACGCCGGCTCCCTAGGCCAATAAAGTGAGATGAGCGCTACAACCCCAGAGTTGGCTACGACTGGACCTAATGGTCAGGAGTCCCTTTACCTTTATTTTTATCCACAGAGACAAGCAGCTCCCACTTCAGAAGATCACCTTCCAATGCTTGGAGAGCAATCAGAATGGCGCCAGGAGCAGAACTAACACATCCCCTTGCAAGTTTATTTAAAATGAATGCTCAGTGCCTCAGACGGGGGCTGCAGTATTAGCAGAATGAGGAATGTGAGGAGAATACTTTATTTTTATGACAAGGCAGGAGGCGATGCTGAGGCTGTTTGCCTTCCCACCCACACCAGCTGTTGGGAATCAAGCCCAGGTTGAGGGAAGGTGGGAGAAAAACAGAAGATGGGGAGGAGCTGTTTGTGTTTTATAAGCCACAGAGAACGATGGAGAAAGGATGGAGGACAATGCCACACAGTGCCCCAGGAGAAGATTTTGAGCATGGTTCACAGTTTGTAGGAGAGAGTGAGAGGGGGGAAGAAGTTCTCTATCCCACCCCATGTTTAACCCGATGAAGGGGCTCTTGGATCCAAGAGCTGGGACTTCTGCATTATCTTCTAGTGTAAGAGGAGTTGTGAACCCTCTGAGGATAGCAGGGAACAAGCTTGGGGGAGCTTACCCATTTTGGGGGGAAGATGTTTACATGCCACGCTTCCTTCAGAGTCCACGGGGCAGTTTAAAATAACAATTAAACAGTAAAATTAGAAATCTATCCCCAAACACTGAGGAAAATAAGGAAGGCAAAGATATGTGGCCTGCTCAGATTTGGAAGGTGGTTCTCGTAGAAAAGTTGACAGCGAACCTTAGATTAGTAAACACACAAAAGAAAACGGACATATTCCACGCCTCTCGGGAATGATTTTATCATTTGCACAGAGCACCAAGTAGCCCAATTTCCTCCATCGGCATACACCTGTCTATGGCTGAATTGAAGAAGGATTGGAGATTTTGAGACATCAACTGTAAGGGAACCAGAGGAAGGTTAATTTTCAACCCCACCAACAACAACAGCAACAACCCATCACTATTATCTTTACAGTGGTACCTCGGATTACAGACACTTCAGGTTACAGACTCTGCTAACCCGGAAGTAGTACCTCGGGTTAA